AGTAAAGTCATATTTCAAGTTTGAGAATTGGTGGTTGCAGACTGAAGGCTTCAAAGACAGAGTTGAAGACTGGTGGAAATCTTTCATCTGTGAAGGAAGGCCAGACTATATACTAGCTTTCAAACTCAAAGCTCTAAAGACAAAGCTAAAGGAATGGAGCAAAACTATGCAAGGCAATCTAGCACTGAGGAAAGCAAGTGTTCTCAATCAACTTGCAGAACTGGAAGAAGTACATGAACAAAGGAGCTTGACAGAGGAGGAAATTCACACAAAAACATCACTGTCTATGGAGTTTGAGGAGATTGCAAATCAAGAAGAAATAGCATGGAGGCAGAGATCAAGGGCTCTTTGGTTGAAAGAGGGAGATAGGAACACCAAGTATTTCCATAGAACAGCCAATGCACACAAGAGATATAATAACATAGATCAATTGACTGTGGAAGGGGAGACCTTACAGAGTCCCGAAGACATCAAGAGGGAGATAATCAGATTCTACAAAAAGCTGTACACAGAAGAAGAAGAAGACTGGAGGCCAACAGGTTCCATCAGAAACAATCAAATGATCACTATAGAAGAAAACTTAATGCTGCAGAGTCCATTTGGAGAACAGGAAATATGGGACTGTGTTAAGGCATGTGCAGGTGACAAAGCACCAGGACCTGATGGGTTTTCAATGGCATTCTTCAATAAATGCTGGGATGTGTTAAAAGATGATGTAGTAGCAGCTGTCCAGAACTTTTATGATCAAGGAATCTTTGAAAAGAGCATGAATGCCACATTTGTGGCTTTGATCCCTAAGAAGGCTGGGGCCAAAGAATTAAGAGATTTTAGGCCTATCAGTCTGATAGGCAGCATATACAAGATTATTTCCAAGCTATTGACTGAGAGACTCAAAAAGGTGATGAACAAATTGGTGGATCATCAACAAATGGCCTTCATAAGAGGCAGACAGATCATGGATGCTGTGCTATTAGCCAATGAATGTATAGACACAAGGAAGATAAGCAAAGAGCCTGGGATACTATGCAAGCTGGATATTGAGAAAGCATATGACCACCTGAATTGGAAATACCTTTTGGATACTCTGAGGAGGATAGACTTTGGGGAAAGATGGATTAGCTGGATTAGATATTGCATTTCCACGGTAAGTTTCTCAGTACTTATCAATGGAGAACCAGTTGGATTCTTCCCTTCACACAGAGGATTGAGACAAGGTGATCCCCTATCCCCTTTTTTATTCATAATTGCTATGGAAGGGTTAAATGACATGGTGAAAGTAGCTCAGACAAATAACTGGATAAGGGGCTTTAAAGTGAGTAATAGAACTGACAGTAACATGAGGATTTCACATCTGCAGTATGCTGATGACACTTTGGTTTTTTGTGAAGCTGAAAGAGAACAAGTAAAAGTGCTAAGGGTGATTCTGATTCTTTTTGAAGCTATTTCTGGGCTGCACATCAACTGGCATAAAAGTTTCATTTACCCTGTCAATGAGGTTATGCAGCTTCAAAGTTTGGTTAATATTCTTGGGGGGAAGATAGGGGAATTACCTACTGTATATCTGGGGATGCCTTTGGGAGCTAAGAGCAAGTCAAAAGATATTTGGAATAGTGTGTTGGAGAAATGTGAAAAGAAGCTAGCAAATTGGAAGAATCAATATTTGTCTATGGGGGGTAGATTGATTCTGATCAACTCAGTGCTTGATGCCTTACCTACTTATATGATGTCCTTATTTCCAATTCCAGTCAATGTAGTGAAAAGAATTGATGCTCTAAGAAGAAACTTTCTATGGGAAGGTAATAGTGAGAAAAAGAAAATTCACTTGGTTAAATGGGGAGATCTGACTACTAGCAAGAAGGCAGGGGGACTGGGAATCAAGAATTTGAAAGTACAGAACCAGAGTCTGATGATGAAGTGGTTGTGGAAAATTGCAGCAGATGAACAAACATTGTGGACAGGGGTTATTAGGGAGAAGTATGAAAGGAAGGAAATTGGACAACTAAGTCAGTGAGAAGTCCATATGGAGTTAGTTTGTGGAGATCAATCAGGAATCTATGGCCAAAAGTGATCAACAAAGCAAAGTTCAAAGTAGGAAATGGTAGGAAGATCTCACTGTGGGAAGACAACTGGCTAGGTCAAGGAACCTTGAAGGGGCTCTTTCCTACCATACATGCTTTGAATCAGCAACAACAAGCAACAATAGAAGAGGTTTGGACAGGTCAGGGCTGGAATCTCACCTTCAGAAGAACGCTAAATGACTGGGAAATTGATAGAATTATCCAGTTTTATAATACTTTGGAACAGTTCAGTGGTACCAACGCTAATCAAGATATTATTATATGGCAAGGGAACAGGCAGGGGAAGTTTTCAGTTAAGGAAGCTTACAGGGATTTCAACTTGTCCAACAATCAGGTAGGCTGCTGGCCATGGAAGATGATATGGAAAGTTAAAATTCCATACAAGGTGGCTTGTTTTACATGGCTATTGGCAAAAGAAGCAGTGCTAATACAAGATAACCTAACCAAAAGAGGATTTCAATTGTGCTCTAAATGTTATTTATGTGGAGAGAAGGCAGAGACAATTAGCCATCTTTTTTTGCATTGCAAATTCACTTTGCAGATATGGAGAATCTTCACCGGCTTAAGGGGAATTTCATGGACAATGCCGGGAAGAATCCTTGATATTCTAGCATGCTGGAGTAAAGAGGGCTCACTTTCTAAAGATAAAAAAAGATGGAGAATTGTTCCAGCCTGCATATGGTGGACAATTTGGGAAGAAAGGAATCAAAGATGTTTTGAAGACAAGTCTAGTAACATCTAGAAGATAAAGATGAAATGCTTAGCTCTTTTTTATTTTTGGTGTAAAGGAAAGCTTTTGGAGGATCATGACCATTTTAGATGTTTTAGAATCCTTGTGAGAAGACCAGGGATTAGAAGTTGTTTGTACTTTTGTCTGTTCACTCCCTTTGTAATTATGGGTGACTTCACAATTTTAGTGAAGTCTTTATATTAATATACAAATATGTTACCTTCTCGAAAAAAAAAAGAACTTCACGAAACTTAGCCAACTCCATGTCTAGCTTTGAATTAAGCATGGAGATCAACGCTCTTCTTGAGACTGCATCAATTCCAATGCTTGTACACCAACAATCACTTTGATGATGTCCATATATATATATATATATATATATATATATATATATATATATATGAGTTGAAGACATCTTGTTTCTCCAAATACTTCAAACTCTCCATGGCAAGCTTGAAATTGAAGAATATTTAGGCAAATAACTGTAAATAGTTAGTTCATTGTTACACAAATTCAAAAAGAACTTACGGAGAGAATTAGCAATTGTGCAGGTTCTAGGAAAGCTAGGAACTATTTTGATACATAGGCTTTGTAAGCTAGGAACTTACGGAGAGAATTAGTAATTTTGATACATAGGCTTTGTAATTAGATTCCGTTAAATGATTGGTTTGGTTTGTCTTTCTGAGACCTTAATATTCTGAGCAATCTTCCAAGAAGGTGGTTTGGAATCTAGATGCTCTTAGTTTTTTCTGGTAATATTCACAGTTTATTACCCAAACAAAAAAAAAAAAATTGAAGTGTTTATGCCCATGTCTATGTATTGCATTCAATTATCTATTAGGTATAGCAAAAAGCAGTTTGTTCAAATATCTTGTACCAAGATACTTGGTCTTGTAATGCAAGCCCAACTGCAATAATCCTACACCTTCTCCATGACCTTTTATTTTTCCTTAAAATCATCTCCGCCCAATGACACCATGTGACAGTGAATCTAATTTTTCACCTTTTGCTTTTACTTTAAAGAAAAAAAATACCCAACAGAGGAACCTTTATGAGTCTGAGTGACGTCTACATGGCAAACTCTCAACAAGGAGCAAAAGTGATCCATTATATGATGGGCTAATCGCAAACTATCAATGTAAGACTGAAACAATAATCTGCTTTTTCTCTCAGCTCTTCTATCTTATGAAATGGAACAAAGACTTGAGAGGAGAAGGAAGTGTTCTCATTAAATTTTGTGAGTCGTTTTTCGCCTTTCTAATGGCATCCAGCTATTTTACATCTTCAGAGTGAAGTCCAGACACCATAGCAGAAACTGGTTATATATCTTTTGGCTAGCAAGTTTGGTTAAAGTGGATGTAATTTTTGTCACATATAACAACTGCTACGTGGTATACGAAAAGTAATTTACTACGTACTGTGTGCGTAAACAAAAAGATTCTCCCTTCCCCTTCCCACCTTTTCCCTTTGGGTAGAAGGAGAGGAAGTGGTTGAAGGGTAGCAGGTGTTGTTAAATCATTATTGATACTATTCTCCTTCCCCCTTCCCACCTTTTCCCTTTGGATAGAAGGAGCGGAAGAGGTTGAAGGGTGGGAGGTATTGTTAAATCATTATTGATACTATTGTCTCTTTTTTGTTCCTACTAGTAGTGGGCACGCGTGTTGCACGTGCATCCCATGTAATTAGTATAAAAAAAAAATTACATTGTTTTGTACATGGATGATAAAACGCTTTGATTCATGCTTATAATATAAGAAAAGGATTGTAATCGCAACAATCGGAACATTTAAGCTAAAAAATTAGAAGGAGAAGATACAATATAAGAACGGTAAATGTTAGCTCTAAAAAATTATTATACGCAAGAGAAGTTAAGAGTTTAACTTTGTAAAGTGAAGAATTTAGATAAATGTATCTTAATAAATTCTTTGACAATCCCATGGAAAATTTAACATTACAAAACTAGCTTTTGTAGCTTTCATATTTTGTTTATTAATATTGAAAGTATTATTAATGTAACTTTTAAGGGCATAAAAGTCCAATAATATTATAGGGTCATTTTAGTCTTTCGTATTCAACTTTTGATCTTCATGGTTATAATATAGTATGATTATGAGGTTTAATTCCTGACTCGGAGATATCGATGAGCTTAAGTAAGTGTTTGGTTCATATACTTTTTTGATGTAACGACTCAGGATATTGATCCTAGCCGAAGACCGGGTGCTGGACCTGATGGTTACGCTTCACTGAAGAACCATCCTTTCTTTAGGGAGGTTGATTGGGATAGTTTAAGGTCTCAAACTCCTCCATGTCTTGCTGCAGAGCCAAAAGTATGCCATTTCCTTTCATATTTATCTCTGAAGCGTTATTTCGTTCTGCTCAAAGCGATAAACGTTCATAGAAGTATTAACAGGCTATCCCAAATCTTCAGGCCCACTCTACTCGTAGCAGTGGTGAAGATCAAGATTCTTCATGGAATCCATCACATATTGGGGATGGATCAGCTAGAACTAATGATGGAAATGGTGGTGCAACATCCTCTTCTGAAGCTGGTAGCATTACCAGGCTTGCTTCAATTGACTCTTTTGATTCAAAATGGTAGGTTTAACTTCTCTGGAGTATTAGCTGCATTCTCTTGGTATAACTTTTAAAAAGGGGCAGCTTTGTTATGTCAAAATGGTCCTGCTGCTTGTTGTGGGAGCTAGAAATCTTATGTAGTGGAAAGAGATCTAGTTAATCCTACCCAGTCATGCCATTTTCCTTATTTAAATTTTAGTCTTTTCTTCGTCAAGGAAAAAAGAAAAAAGAAAAAAAAAAGAACTAAAGAATATTGTCCTGGAATTGGTAGTCTCTGTACATTGGTAGTTGTGGTTTAACATGTGAAAAAGTATTGTGTTCTACTTGGATGCCAGATTCTTGCATATATCTGCAGCTTCTGAAACTCCTCATGTTTCCTAATTGGGAAAAGGAAAAGGAAAGTAATCTTTTCTGCATGAAGAAATTACCAACTTCTAGTGCAAGCTGATAGCCTTCAAGTAGAAGCTTCATTAAGTTTCATGTAGAAGCTTGTTTCTACTCTTCCGAGCAAGAGTGGTTACCCGCTATTCTAGACTCGTAAAGAGGGAGATGACATCCCTAAATTGCACACTTCAATACAGGCAGTTTTCACTTTTTAGTGCAAGTATTCTTTGCTACATGAATTAATATACCAACTTGTGGTGCAAGCTAGTAGCCTTCAAGTATGTGGATGAATGCTTACATTATAGAAACTTGTTTCTGTTCTTCCCGAGCATGCATTGTATAGGTTACTACTCTACTAGAATTGTCAAGAGGGAAATGACAACCCTATCTTGGACGTCGAATTCTCTTTTTCATTAGCTCTTTCCATCTCTCATTCTTTATGGATCAGTAATTTCATGTCAACGTGTTTCATCAACAGGAAACAATTTTTGGAGCCTGGTGAATCCGTTCTTATGATCTCCATGGTGAAAAAGATACAGAAGCTTACAAGCAAGAAAGTTCAGCTTATCCTGACAAATAAGCCAAAGTTGATCTATGTAGACCCCTCAAAGTTGGCGGTCAAAGGGAACATTATATGGTCCGACAATTCTAACGATCTTAGTATTCAAGTCACAAGTCCTTCACAGTTTAAGGTTTGCACAGTTAAGTATAATCAGTTAAATTCTGGTTGATGAGTTTTTATTATTATGTTTTTCCCAAGTTATCATAGTTTTAACTCAATCTCTGTATGTCTATGCAACTTGTGATCGATCATACAGCCAAAGAAAGTATTGTCTTTCGAGGATGCTAAGCAACGAGCAATGCAGTGGAAAAAGGCAATTGAAGCTCTCCAAAACCGGTGATTTTTATGTTTCATTTCCACCATATATTCTTTGCAAAACAAATAAAACAGTAGGGGCCACAGCCACAGGGGATCAAGAAACTGTTGGATCCTCCCTGGAATTCTTATCAATACAACTTAAATTACAGGTCTAGCCATTTTCACCTGAGTTTTTTCTGTTTTCTTGAATGAAGCTTTCACCACACTTGTAAGGTACAATCTTTTAAAGGCAGAAACTCTTTAACTGAAAGTTCTCACTTCCCAGTTTTTTCTAGAAACCAAAATTTTGATTCTGAAACAAGACTCATTGTTTTCCGAGAACAAACAGCCCTCTTTTTTTTTACCTTTTAAACCATTTTTTGGGGTTTTTTTTTCTTTTTCTTTCTTTTTCTGAACGAATAAATTCAAGCTCACACCTTGTTATCCAAGCGCCACACCTAAATTAATTGTTTTCTTATACTTCTAGGATGGAGTAGGGGTCAAAAGAGAAATAAAAAATGGTTAACCAAAAAGATAAGAGTAGTTTATGCACCAAACTGCAATATAGTTATGATTGTGGTTTAAAGGTCCCAATGCAACGATTCTGGTCCTGAATGTATTTGGTTGAGTTAAATTGATCACTTGGGAAAAAATCATCTTGTATTGATTTCAGCTTTTAATTACTCATGGATAGCTTGCCAATCTACCTATAAAATTAGTTTAATATTTCTTCTAAAACCATCATTCACATTTAATCCACTTCCCCCCCCCCCCCCCCCCTCCCCCCCACACAAACTCAACCACGTATCAAACTCTTAATCTCTAAATTATCGAAAAACGTCGTCTAGTTTACGCAGAGTTTACTAAATTTAATAACAAAATGAACTCAATTATTCATTGCTAAACTTCTCCTATCTTCTGAGAAAATTGAACCATCTAATATTGTCATTTATATGACACAGTCTTTTGTTCTTAGAAAAGTTCTTGAGTATAATGATCAGGCAACAGTTTATGCATCGAGTACCACGTGCAACAGAATAAAATTGCTGGACCCAGATGGCAAGTGGGAGATGGTAATTTACCATATGTAAGGCGTATACGTTAATAACAAATAAAAATTCTTGAACAAATACACATGCACAGACGCTAAAACACATAAAAATATATAAATCAACCAACAGCTTAGCAGAAATGCAGAATGTGTACTGGAATCTTTATCGAGCGATGGTAAAAGTGTACATGTTAATCGTGTTGTAATGATTTAGCAGAAAAATATGAGACTTTACATAACATGTGCAAATCATATCTGAGCCATGGCCGATCATCCATCTGTAGAGAGGTTGACGAACTAGAAAATGGGCAAGGCTCCACCAAAATATTCTTAATAAACCACTCTTAATGGGCGTAACTTGATAAACCCTCCACGTTTGTCTCTTCTTCACGAATTGTTTCATTGATATTAGAAGAATTAACCTAATAGCCGTCCACCCAACCGCTTAAACTAAAAATAGCTGGCAAATGTGTAATATTATGTATAATTTATGCATGTGTAATATGTGTATAACGATTTATAATCAATGCATAATCTATATATACCGGCTAGAAAAAGTAAACAGTGAATTCCACCGGCTTAATACTAATTGACAATCCATCACTAGATGAGATATGAGTTAGGCGACCTATCATTTCCTTATAAAGAAAGTGATCATCGTTACATAGTTGCAGAGAACCGTCTTGAATGACAATTTCGAAGAAACTACTTGGCCTTCTCGAGGGCTATATATATATCAGCAGCAGAAGATAATTAAGAAGAAAAGTACACAACAGCACATAAATCAGAAGAAATTACAGTACAAGCCGTATAAGCCATTGACTCATCATCGATTTTAGGTTTCACACAGAGAGGATGCGGGTGAATTAGGTGTAAGTGTAGTTAGTGATTGGCCCAGCATGATGGTATCCGTTAACTTAGAAAAGAAATATGACAAAGTACCAAAGGAGGTTTCTTGGAGTCTAGAGGTGTATCTGTGGCATACATTAGAGCGATTAAGGACATATACAATGGACCCAAAATCCGAGTGAGAACAGTAGGAGGAGACACGGAACACTTCCCAGTCGAGATGGGGTTGTACCGGGGATCACCTCTCAGCCCATTTTTATTTTCCTTGGTGATGGATGAATTGGCACGACATATCCAAGGGGAGGTACCATACTGCATGTTATTTGACGATGATATAGTATTGATTGACGAGACGAGCGGCGACGTTAATAATAGACTAGAGGTTTCGAGACAGACTCTAGAATCTAAAGATTTGAGGTTGAGCATGACTAAAACAAAGTATATGGAGTGCAAGTTCAGTGACACATACCATGAGAGGGATGTAAAAGTGAGAATTGATACACATGTCATCTCTAAGAGAGGAAGCTTCAAGTATCTTGAGTTAATAATTCAAGGAAATAGGGAGATTGACGATGATGTCACATATCATATTGGAGTGGGGTAGAAGAATTGGAGTCTCGCATTCAGTATCTTATGTGATAAGAATGTGCAACCGAGACATACAGGTGATAGAGCGATTGTTAGACCAACTATGTTGTATAAGCACAGTGCTGGCCAATCAAGAATTTACACGGTCAAAAGATAAATGTAGCAAAATTTGGCTGTTTAGATTGGTGTGGGAATACTAGGAGAGATAAGATTAGGAAAATAGATATACGAGACAAGGTGGGAGTAGGATCAGTGGTGGACAAAATGCGAGAAGCAAGGCTAAGAGGCTTTTGACATATAAAGAGGAAGAGAACAGATGCCACCGTGAGGAGGTACAAGAGGTTGGCAGTGATAAGTCTAAGGGGAGGTAGAGGTAGACCGAGAAAGAATTGGGGAGAGCTGATTAGATATGACATGACACATCTCCATCTCATAGAGGACATGACCCTGGATAGGAAAGCAAGAGGGTCGAGGATTAGGATAGAGGGCTAGCAAGTAGTTGAGCGATTTCTCTTTTTTGTGGGAGAGCATGGTTCTAGTTTATAGCACCATATTTGCTCACTCTTCCACTTATCATCATCATCATCATCATCATCATCATCATTACACTTATACTTTAGTAACTTTAGTACCTTACGTAACTTACGTTTTAACTTTTACGTTTTCGGTTTTAACTTTTAGGTACTTTTTAATTTACTTTTTTTAGTTTTAAGTTTTTTCGTTAAGTTACCTTAAGTACCTTTTTAGTACCCGTNATAGTCTCCTATACTTCGAAAAGGCTCTGAAGTTCTTTCAACCATATGCCAAGAAAAAGAGGAAGAGAAAAGAATATAAAGTATACTAAATATATTCAATAGTCTCCTATACTTTAAATATTTTTTTATAACTGAAACATATTATATAATATATTTATGCTATTTTTTAAATTATGTAATCCTTAATATTGGGGTAATCATTAATCATGCCTAGAAATTAATATAAAAACAAAAAGAACCAACTTCGGAGTGGTAATTTTTTGTAAAAATAGCACGGTCTAGCCAGTTTTCGGACTGGTCATTCAAAAATAGTCAGCGTTTGTCAAGTCATTGAAAAATAGCCACTATTTTGCTGCAACAGAGACCTGTCCAGCATAATATATTGGAGTTCAGTGCACCTATGTATGAACTTCCAGCATATTATGCTGGACCTGTATACTTTGCTGGCTCCAGTATAATATACTGGAGACTGGAGCACCAGTGCTCCAAACTCCAGTATATTATGCTGTACCGGTATATTATACTGGAACTCCAGTATATTAGACTGGAGTTCCAGTATAATATACTGGAACTCCAGTATATTATGCTGAAGTATTTTCGGATTTTGAACAGTGTTTTAGTTCAGATTTATCTTTACATGACAAGTGGCTAAATTTCGATTACCTTTAAGACTGTGGCTATTTTTGAATGACCACTTGTAAATCTGTAGAGATATTCTGGGAAAAAACTCAGATAATAGGGAGAATTTCATAGATAACAACTTTTTAATTCCGAGTAAACTTGACTTCTAATAAATTAAAATTGCAAATATCGGAACATGTCTATTATATGCCATGCTAACGGAAAGGAACAAAAAGACCTTTGTAGTCTTAATATGAAATATGTCGTATTATGAGTGTGCTAGGTATGGAAAAAACATTTTCTAAAAATTCTTTTTAAATTTTCTTATTTTTGGTTGGTGAATAATTTTCAAAATATTTTTCTAGGAAATATATTCCTTAAAAATAAAAAAAAATAACTTCTGAATAGGGAAAATAGGTTCCATCCTCTTCCCACTCCAACCCCACCCGGCTACACCGGGCACCACCCCAGAGCGGCACATGCATACTTTACGTGCTGGATTCTCCAACTCCATATGCCATCACTGTTAGTAGACTGTATTTGTAAAATAATTCTGGAAATATAAATGAGTATAAACAGAAATGAACATAAACAGAAATGACATAAAACCAATTCGAGCCCACTGAATTCACAGTGTTTCCTTAAGGAATTTAATCCCCTCTTAGTACCCAAGGTTATGGATTATTTCCTCCCAGGATGGAACGAATTACACACTGGTGTAGTGGTACTTCAAACCCCAGTGTTTCAGCGAACACAAAGTTCGGTAGCAAACCACACTTACTTTTTACTTTGTTTGATGCTAAAAGTATGCAGAAGAAGGAGAGAAAACTCAGAAAATCGTAGTGAAATTCTGAGCATAATAGTGTTGTATTTATAGTCAAAGTTGGGCTGAAATCTGAAGAGGTGCAACTCTTCAGAATGGCTGTTTATGCAAAACTGCCACATCATAAATGCCATTACATAAATGGCCATTTACTCAACAATAAAGAGGGAAAATAAAGACGGAAAATTGAAGAGGGTAGTTACTTTTCTGTTACCAAAACAGAAAAACGGATTGGATTTAATATTAATATTCTGTTATTAAAACAAATATTTAATAACATTTCTGTTAATATTTTACTATTAACAAATAAATTTGGTCCAAAAAGTTAATCAATCAATCGACCGAAGCCGAGCGACGACGGCGCGAGGCTTGCCTTCTTTTCAACTCTTTAATATGGGACAATGTCCATTTGCCAAAGGGACAAACTTAAAACTTCACTCAAAATTTCATTTCCCTCCATTTCTCATTCACCCTCTTTTAAGTATTTAATATATTAATTAAATACAACAAAAACCCAACAAGTCATTGAATGAGAATTTAGTGAGATGGAGGATGAACTCAAATACTTGAGTCCACCTTCAATAGTGGGATGTTAAAT